CATTGGCAGACTCCCCTTGACGAGTAAAAGTGTCTGGTGTCAGAAGGCGGAAAATGATAAAGTATAGTGCATTGGGGCTTAAACTAAAATTGACATTATTTGTACTGCTCTCTGGTCGTACATTATCACATACGGTCCCACGATCATATCCGATTAATTCAAAATTGTTGATTTATTCTTTAGGAAAAAGAAAAACATGAACAGAAACTGAAAGAACTCGAAGCAGCTGGTAAGTCTTGCATCGCTTACCTATGATCTGATACAAATGCAAGCAGAAACTCAGGAGTGGACACTACGGGATGGAAGGGGAGTGGAAGGGTGAAAGGGGACGGGGAGTGATTTCTATTTGAGTTCCCTGGAGTGGACAGGGTGGTAGGGGAGTGACTTCCATTTTCTTGCAACGAACAAGGCAGGGTGTGACTGTTCTTGTTTTGTTTCTTGCAGCCAAAGCTGGTCCACATCACCCTAGAAACTTGATGTTGGGCATCGTCTATTCTGCTAAGGTACGTGCTTGCCTGTGTATTTGCTGTTTTGCATGGTGGCGGCTGGCCAAAAACTAATTTGGAGTTCGCTAATCTGTGTACATTATAAGTGAAGCGAGTGCCATAGCGTTTGGACGAAGTATCTAGTAACGGATAAATCAAAGACTTCTCTAATAGAAAACCCTTCTCCCTTTTAGTTTTTAGGCAGCACTAATTTAATGTCTCCATCTGCTCCAAACAAAGCAGTACGCTTACAACAAGCTGAGGAAGCTATTGGCCGTATCAAGGTGGGTAATAGGGTTTATTATACCTATAAATATATCACTCTTGTTAAATCTCTCTATCTTTTATATTTCTGACATTACACGCAATATTCTATTGAACTTAACAACTAGTTCTAATATCATTTCGTACACACACTATTTCTTTATGGCTAAATTAATTTGATTTGAGTTGGTAAGTGTTTAATGTGAAAACAATTTTTCATATTGCTAGGTTTCAGTAAGCATTACAGGGAAGCAAATGATGGTCATATTAAAAAAAGTTGATATAAAATGGACAAGAAAATAAAATAAAACTAAATCTCTGATTTTCAGGTTCCCGAAGGAGAGGAACAGCCCTCCTCAGATGTGGATTTGTTTATTTCAACTGAACGAATTAAAATTGTCAGCTCTGAAAACAAGGTATACATGGAATCTAACGGCAGTAAACATAAAAAATGTTATGTACTTGATAGCTCTAGCAGTTCTAAGTAAGGATCATCTCTTATTTGTTCTGTGCTATGCAAAGGAAGAAACCTAAACTTAACTATATTTTGAGGTTGTTCAGGGCCCGGGGCAAAAGTTCCCAGGGGGATCCTATGATGTCATAATTGTAAAACGAGAGAGCGTTGTTTACAATACATGTACACTTTATTGCATGTTATCAGGCACTAACGTAGCTAGGATTTATATTCTCAGTTAAGCAATCTTTTATCAAGAACATTTAACGTGATCTTCGTTGCTTTGGCTGCCCCTCTCTGCCTCCCTCTCGCCGAGCCCGTACATTACTTACACAAGCGGGAAGGAAGAAACTCGTGTTTCTATTTTTCAGCAACCGCTAACGGACCACCATTTAAAAACGATCTCATTTATCGCCGACATTGGTAGTATAATTGTCGTGATGGCGAGGCTATCCACAGAAAGCGAGAGCAAGACATGGACTGGAAAGATGCCGGATTTCAGTCCACACAAAGAGAAACAGGAGGAGAAAACGACGAAAGTTATTTGTCATGTTCTCGAGACTGCAGAGGTTCGTTGGAGCAAAATCTCCTCAGTGCCAGTGTAGGTCGTTACGATAACAGACAGCTGCGATGTGAAAGATATACTACTTCCTGAAAATTTTCAGGGATGGATATACTACCTGAAAATTTTCAGGGATGGATATACTACTCCCTGAAAAATTTCAGGGATGGATATACTACTCCGTGAATAACTTCAGGGATGGATATACTACTTCATGAAAATTTTCAGGGATGGACATACTACCACCTGAAAATTTTCAGGGATGGATATACTACTCCTTGGAAAATTTCAGGGATTGATATACTACTTTATGAAAAATTTCAGGGATTGATATACTACTCCTTGAAAATTTTCAGGGATGGATATAGTATTCCTTGGAAAATTTCAGGGATTGATATACTACTTCATGAAAAATTTCAGGGATTGATATAGTACTCCTTGAAAATTTTCAGGGATGGATATAGTATTCCTTGAAAAATCTCAGGGATGGATATACTACTTCATGAAAAATTTCAGGGATGGATATAGTACTACCTGAAAAATTTTCAACTACTTGGAAAATTTCAGGGATGAATATACTACTTCATGAACTATACTACTTCAGGGGGGCGGGTGCAATTTTTCATGATAAAGCAAAAAAATATTGGAGACAAAATGACAGTAATTTGAGTGAACAACAATTATAGTTCAAATAACAGTCAAGCAAGTACTGCTGTATGTTGATGTGCGGATGGCGCATGTGACCGACACAACTCTGCAGCAGAGCTGGCAGAGCACCCCCCACGACCAGATCATGCTGGATCCATCCGCAGCTTTCTGTTTTCGTCGCTACCTACCCTGGCAACGACGACTGTTCGAGACTGTTCTTATTCTCGTTATATCCAGCATTAAAATTTTACATCGTTTTCTAGGCGCAGACTGTGGCAAAGACAGTGGGCCAGGCATTCAACATCGCTTACCATGAATTCCTGAAGTCAAACAGATTGAACCTGGGGGAAATTGAGGATATGGAGTACAATGGAATTCTGGAACAACAGAAAATACTTGGAGAGGAGTTGTCATTGTTGGCTGATGAAACTAAAACCAAGGAGGTTTCTGATTCAATTAACTTTATTTATACCAACCTCGCAAGCCAGGGTCTTTACTTCCGCACGGTGCTTTGCTGTAGCGCAAGACCCTGGCTTGCGAGGTTGTATTTCTATATAGACCCATTGCACTGACGTCACAAATCCTTAGAGTGTCCTCCAGATGCTCCCTAACAATATCTGTTCGGGTAAAACAACCGCATACAGCGCAAAAATTAACCATTTTAATATAAAATTTCAGCAAAATTTGCTTTGTTTACAAAAGTTATATTAATATGCATAGTTGCTAATTTGTCCTCCAGATGCATCGTCATCATCATGTGCAATGGGTCTATACTGGATAGCTGTATTTGTCGAGTAAGAGCCATCACCAGCCAGTGTTAATACAGGAGGAAACCCCAACTTTATTTATACTAAGTATTTATATTTCATAGGTTGTTATTCATAAGAAATACGGAGAGAGTTTGTTGCTAATGATTGTTGAGAGCGGGTGGGGTTCAATGATTCCGACAGTCGTGATCGCTCATATGGATAACAAAGGACCCGCTGCCAAGTCTGGCCAGTTGAATGTCGGCAATCAAATACTCGCTGTGAATGGTCAGAGTTTAGTGGGATTGCCATTACTGGAATGTCAGAATATTATCAAGGTCAGTGTGTATCTGGGTGGGGCAATCAATATGTTCCTTTGATAAAAAACTTGTCTGATATTAAATCTGGTTGCTATAAGTCATAATATTTAATTTCTCTGTCCCACAGGCACAGAAATATGAAGAACGTGTTGCGTTTAAAGTCGTGTGCTGCCCTCCGACCGTGGAAATATCCATCAACAGACCAGATACCAAATATCAGCTGGGATTTAGTGTGCAGAACGGAATGGTATGTTTTGAAAAAAATATTTGTTTCAGACCTGACACGTGAGTTCGATTCTCGCTACGGACTCATGTGAAAAGAAGCAGTCAACGCTGTGCCAAAGTTGTGGGTTTTCTCCGAGTGCTCCGGTTTCCTCCCACAGGGAAAGTTTACAGGGTGGGTTAGGATGAACATAGCTAGGAAAATAATATCACAATTGACCATTTGCGTAATAGACTAAATTTTGATCCAGACAAAAATTTCATCACAGCTTGAAAGAGCATCGCAAAATTAGTAATATTCTAAAGTTTCGTTGCGAAATGTTGTAAAATGCGAATAATATAGCTTTGCGAAGTTTGCAATTTTCAGTCATTTTGTATTACAAACGGGAAATTGATGCCCCAACACCCGATTGCGCTGTCAATTTCCCGTGCATAATACAAAATGACTGAAAAACGGCAAACTCCGCATGGCTATGTTATCCGCATTTTACAACATTTCGCAACGAAACTTTGGAATATTACTAATTTTGTGATGCTCTTTCAAGCTGTGATGAACTTTTTGTCTAGACTTGTTGAGATCAAAATTTAGTCTATTACGCAAATGGTCAATTGTTGTTAAGATAAATAGTCTACGGTAGGCTAAGTAGGTAATGTAACAAAGCGTGACACTTGATGTAATCAGTCATTGAAAGCCTTCTGGAGAGTGGGCTGAGTAATGTTTAACAAATATAAAACATTTTCCGTGTTGATATACAGTTATATCAACACGAGTGGAAATTGGGAAAACGAGAAATTGTGTGGAAACACGACGCCCGAAGGGCGGAGTGTTTTCACACAATTTCGAGTTTTCCCAACTTCCACGAGTGTTGATATAACTATATATCAATACGGAAAAAATGTTTTATATTTGTTTTATAATATAGCAATGTCAAAAGCCCGAAGAATAAGAAAAATTTCCGTGTTACAAGCGGCGGAAAATTTCCCGTGTTGACATGGAGTTATATCAACACGGCTCTTAGCCAATCAGCGTTCAGAATTTACAAATGCTATATTATAAATGTATATATCAGACTGACTGTCATGTTGTCAGCCATGTTTTTCGGTAAATGATCATTTCATTGTCTACTAGATCTGCAGTTTAATGCGAGGTGGGATTGCTGAACGAGGCGGAGTGCGTGTGGGTCATAAGATTATTGAAATGAATGGAGAAAGTGTTGTTGCTGCCTCTCATCATCATATTGTCGATATTTTACAGACAACTATTGGAGAGGTATGGAAACTTTATTTTTACTGGATCTCTGTCAGTTCTAAACTGTTCTTCTTATGATGAATGTTACAGTCACAGGGCTACCAACTCCCCTAGTCTTGTAACCACATACATTTTTCTGTACGGTCACATCTGGGAAAACTAGTTTGAAACTTAACCTACATATCCAGTTTGGCTCATAGATATCTTATACACACTAGATAGTGCATCTAATTATTCTGCAATTCAAAAATTGAAGCCGTGATTGCAGACTCAGGATATTCCCATGAAATGAGAAGAATCGTATATGTTTTCTATTTCTTAAACAGCGAACTTAAACATTAAGTTAAACCTATTCCAAATACATGTCCAAACTATTCAAATGATGAAAGTTGTTGTTGTTTTTTAAGCGTTTATTAGCGAGTGGGCAACTCCAACATGGCCGCCATCTATTCAAATGGGAGTAACCGCTGGAATATTCTTGGCTTCAATTTTACTAAGTGTATATAAGATATCTATGGTTCGGCTATGCCTATATTCCTTTCGAATACAATAGACACAGTGTGGATTTTATACATCTATTAGACCGAACCGGAGCAATTGTGAAAAATGCGACCATAGGCCCTCTGCCAGGAATCGATCTTGCGGTCCTGCAATTCCTGTGCAGCGCTCTAACCAACTGAGCTACAAAGAGACACTTGTCAAACTCTAACCACAAATTCATGTGTATATATACTATGAGCTGACTTATCGTATGTATTCCTTCCTTCCTTGCAGTTACGAATGAAGACAATGCCTATCACTCTCTACAAACTTCTCGTTGGTCTAGAGGTACCACAATATTTATAAAACAACAGCGCAAGTAAGAGAGGTTTATATTTCAAATTTTTAATACGCGATTGAATGTTGCTATTAATCTCAAAATGTTGAAAACCGAAATGGGAACACACAACAGCTTGTTGGAACAAATTTGTTGACGCATGAATCTTGTAACGAGCTGGGAACAAGTAGTGGAAACATGACCAGACTTTTTAGAACAGCCTTGCAGCGAGCGCTTTTTTCTCGTTAACCTTGTAGCAAGTTGTGATAAAGCAACTTTTGCAAGCCGAAACGAGATGAATTGACTCTGAACAAACAAATATAAGAATAGATTGAATTATACGAGATTTTATCGTCTTAGCATTTTTACCGTGGGCAGGATACATCCCGATTCAACATGAAATATGTTAGCTGGATCATAGGGCGCCATTTTTTGGTATGTGTAATATTTGAGATATTCTAGGAAGAAATTGATTGCCTCGTCCCCAGTCGCTTTGTGTGGATTGGAGGGGGGGAGCATCGATGCTACTGATTTATATATGCCGCTTGTGTGTGCTAAACATAAGAGCCTGGGGAGGAGGCAGGAAAGTGTGATATATCTTTATATTAAAAAACCTTAATTAAATTTCTCACTATAATAAGTGTAGTTTCCGGAATTAGATGAATTCACAATATCGGACGACTTCCGATGAGGTGTTTACTGTCAAGATATATTGCACTTCTTCTTAGAATGATAGAAATATGACGCCAAAATTCATATTGCGGGTTAATAGTTACACTGAATAATCAGATTCGAAATGATATTATTATGACTTGAAGGCAAGTAACGCTGTGATCAAATAGTTTTGAGAGATCTCAAATTGGTATATAGTGATATTTATATAGAGCGTAGAAGTTGTTGTAAACAATTATGGACATTCCTCTGTCCTGTATATGATTAAAAATACCTTCCCAAGTATATATAAGTGTCAAACACTGAATCAGTTCAACTATTTATTAAAAATTTGTCAAACATGCAACACGAATGCAATACACGATTAAACACAGCGTACAAGACTACAACATTTATTAGCATCCAAACCGATTCAAAAATCATTACAATTATCAGTTTAAGCAAAAGCATGACCATGCATTTTTACGCAATAGTTCTATAACACAAATCTAATTATACTGTTCCATGAAGGCCCAACGTTGATATTAATTATATGTTGTTTATCAGTAGCAGCAAGGTTTGTTGGTTCGCAGACCACAATATCTCGTTGAACTGCAAGGATAGTATCCTCGAGGGCAAATACCCAAGTTGTAATAGCATGTGCAGCCAGGCCAATCGCAGAACGTTTTATCTGTTGAAATAGAATGGAACGCAATTATGACAAATAGACTATACATCACATGATAAACATACCTGTAAGTAGTATATTCTGTAACTGTTGCTCTTGATAAGATCCCGGTAAAGCTCAGAAGTTCTGAAATGCAGGACATCTTCGCCAAGATTTTATAGTCTCACCTGCGACCTTGATTGCTTTCAATTTAACAAATTATAATCTACATAATCCCACTGCAACCACTTGATCCGCTCTTGAATCCCTTAGTTTGTTTTTATATTCAAATACGCGTAAAATTTCTTCCGCAAATGCGGAAAAATTTCTGCGCGGTCGGTGGGTGTGGTCCAAAAAATGAGACCTACTATGAATCTAGATCGACTTTTAAGTTTTAATCTAACCTATTTTCAGTGCCGTTTTGAAGGACTTTTCACTCAATGCCTGGTTTCCTTATGGTCGTTAATGGTGGTAAAAATAGAGTTGCGATCTTTCTGAACGGCCAGTTTATAATACTTAATACCTGTAAACCACATATATAAATCATAAGTATTCTCTAGTTACAATCACTGCGCGTATTCCCAGTTCTAAAATGATGTATTTCGGCTGATGAGAAAGATCGTGACTCAATCTTTACGACCGTTATACGACCATCTGGAAACCAAGCTTATTAAGGGGCAAAGCAGCAACGATGAGCTAGCTATGGCAACTCGTCACGGTTATGCTACACGTACAACGTTTGCCTAAAATTGCATGCCGTATGCGACCTGCTTATACAACTTGAGTTGCACTGTGTAAATCAAGCACGCAACTTTCCTACGTTGTCGTGTAGTGTAAATTAAATCGGCCTTATTAAAGCTACCCGCTAAGCAAGGCAACTTGGTACAGTGTGGACCTAGGCTACGTTTACACTATATCAGATACAGCTTTCCGTAGCGGCATGAAAAAGCAGCTATTCGATACGGAATGTACAACTTTCAGAAGCTGAGTGATCTCTGCTTTGCAATAATTCCTCTGAAAATAGCGTTTCTAAAGGTAGGGATATGTGTTTTTCACGTTGCTACGGAAACGTCCGGTATACAATGTATAAACGTAGCCGTAATCTTGGAAATGAAAAAAAATTTAAATCCCCTGCCGGGACAGTGTTTTCACATTGTTTGTTTTGACATTGTCTTGACAGAAACAGTTTAAAAATAGCATGGGCCAGAATCTTGAACTTTCTTCCAGGCAACAGGACCAGCCCGCTTGTACTACGGCTTTAAAGGCGTGACCAAGGGAGCGAGATATATTGTTCTGCATGTGATGTTATGTTTTAGTTGGGCAGCCCAGATGTCAAACCGGGGAAACGTTGAAAATTTGGAGCCAGAGGTACACCATTATACTGTACAGGGTGTCCCAAAAAACCAAAACTATTGAAATAACGTATTTTTAGAATTTGACATAAGTAAATTTTTTGCGTATAGAAACTGTTTAAGTAGCTGATTTAAATTCCCAAGAGCATAAAGCCTGGTTCACATTAATCGGCGATGTTCTAGAAGAAAATGCACAAAACATTTTATGCATCATGACCACCGACAATGGGCATCGCCGATGTTTACGATCAATGTGAACCAGGCTTAACTGAATAGTGCGCTTTACAAAGATATTTTAATTTCTTAAATAAGTGTCAACATTTAAATAATCCGTATATGCACCCGATCAATATTTTACGCCTTTGCGTTCAGCTTAGTGCTACTGTGCTAGAGCATTCAATTTCGGCATAGTACAAAACATGGACTGGATCCATGGACTGGACCCAAAATTGGACTCAAAATTGGACCCAATATTGGACTCAAAATTGGCCTCAAAATTTTAGCCAAAATGTTGGCCAAAAATCCATTATTTTTTCGGAGAAAAACAACCCTCAGACTGATATCGTGCTTAATTGATTTAATTTGTATAGGCAAATAACTTCACTTTCCATCACTTCTCCTTGACCTATCTAGCTATTTGTCTTCCAAAATTCTATATAATATTCTATTTTCTAAACGTTATCTAGGGTATCTCGTAATTCGTAAATAATAAACCTTTGTGAAATATCTTTGCGCAATGGTCACAAATACATCATCTCATTCCATCAATATATTGATGTTAACATCAATATATAGTTATTTTTAATTATATACATTTTGTGTCTGTATTATTAATACACCCTCTATATATTCCGGCATATATATCCTCTAACGAGTAACGAGTTCGCAAAGTTTGTTTTGTCCATATATTCTAATATTTATCGCAACTAGCTATATGTGGGCTTATCATTATGCATTATTCTATTTTATTATCATAAAATAGAATACAGAGTTTTGGAAGACAAATAGCTAGATAGGTCAAGGAAAAGTGATGGAACGTGAAGTTTTTTGCCTATACAAATTAAATCAAAGCACGATATTCTGAGGGTTGTTTCTCTCCGAATAAATACCATTTGAGCAAAATTTTGGCTAAAATTTTGAGTCCAATTTTGGGTCCAATTTTGAGTCCAATTTTGAGTCCAATTTTGGGTCCAATTTTGGGTCCAGTCCATGGGTCCAGTCCATGTTTTGTACTATGCCATTCAATTTCTAACAATACGACATTTCAATAGTTTTGTGGGTTTTTTTGGACACCCTGTAGATGATCAGATGCAATCAGACGCCTTTGATACAGCTAACTCATAAAATGCATAGATATCTTATATACTATAGATAGCGCATCTCTTTAAGTAAAATTGAAGCCAAGAATATTCCAGCGGTTACACCATTTGAATAGATGGCGGCCGTGTTGAAGTTTCCCACTCGCTAATAAACGCTTAAAAAACAACAATAACTTTCATCATTTGAACAGTTTGAAATTGTATTTGGAATAGGTTTAACTTAATGTTTAAGTTCTCTGTTTAAGAAATAGAAAACATACGAGTCTTCTCATTTCATGGGAATATCCTGAGTCTGCAATCACGGCTTCATGATCAATTTTTGAATTGCAGAATAAAATGTTGTCCTTTGTAAGCCTTAACCTTAAATTAACTCTAGGCGTACATAATGGGAGCATTATTTAATCAGTTTAGAAATCATATATGGGGCGCTTTTCTTAGAGACGTGATAATATCTTCTTGCGAGAACAATTCCTTTACAAATAGCTGCAATATTCAACTGCGAATGCTTCAAACTTGTGCCCCCATTAAGCTTTTTGAGCTTAGAGTTTAAGGTTTAAGGTTTGGAGTTTAAGATTTACAAAGGACAACCTTTTTTGAATTAGCTGTATATCCGTAGAGGTAGCGGACGTAACATTGAATTTTACTAATTTCTGTTCTTCACGTGGTTGAAACCAATGGTTGAGGCTACATTTCCAGAGGCAGAATTAGTATGAATGCAAAGCAAGTCCGATTCCTGAGAGAAGTAGGGGGCATTTGCACACCCAGTTACAGCAATTAGAAAAGGCTATAGGCCTATCACATCGGAAAGGTTCATTTTAATTTAGCAAATTATAATCCACATAAACCTACTCTAATTATATACTTAATCCCTCAGTTTCTTATTTTCCAAAGCTAGAACTAATTATGGAATTTTTAATATCAGATTCCAAGGAGCTCAAATATGGAATTCTATTGCGGAAAATGTTAAATTTCATTCTTTAAAAAAATTTAAAGAAATAGTGAAAGCAACCTTTCTCCAAAGTTATTGATTTTTTTTATATAACAACGTTTTTGTAGTTCATAAATTTTTCATTGCGAGATTACTTAGGCTTTGTCCTTTTTTGTCGTCGTTTGTCTTTGTTTTTGGTGTAATGTATTTTGAATAGATGACTTGTTAAAACAAACTGACCGCCAGATCTTTTAGCCCTTTGGTTATTTTGGCTGTCAGTGCTCATTAAATAGTCATATAAATATGAGTGTGTGTAAATAATATTCTATAATTTGTTATGAGTAATAAACTGTTATTGTTGTTGTTGTTGTTGTTGTTATATTCAAAAACCCGTAACAATTTCTTCCGCACTGGCGGAAGAAATTTCCACGCTGTGCGTGTGTGTGGTCCAAAAATGAGACCAACCATGAAACCAGTTACCGATGAGAACGTTTTCCATGAGAGGTTTTCAGATGGCAAGTTTTCATTGCCAATTACACGTGTGTACATACAACAAATTTTCCATGACAAGTTTTCGGTTTTCTGAATTCCATGTCCTGAATAAGACAAAATCTAGTTGTTAGACTTCATTGGACTTACTGAGAATTAGGTATACATGTATATATTGACAATTATTGGCGGATACTAGGGAGGGGGCAGCAAGAGCAAGTGGGTGGGGGGGGGGGGGCAACCCTTTGCCCAGGGCCTTTTTTAAGGATTTTCCCGTGGGGGGGGGGGCATTTTTTGAAAAGGGAACTTTTTGTGGGATATATATTAGAGGAGGATAGCAATGGCTGAAGGTCATGTGTGTAGCCAACATATCACGCATGAATGGGGTTCTGGGGGTGTAGTCCCACAGAACATTTTTGAAATTTGAAGCACGGAAATGCCATTTCCTGCATTCTGAGCATCCAAATTTGCTCCAAAATTTATGCTAACTATATTTGTATTTGAAATAAAAGAAGCAAAAAGTGCACAAAAAGTAACTAACCGTAATTTATCATTACTTATTAGAGGGTTTGCTGGTCCACAAGTCATGATGATAAAATGTCCTAAGTTATAGGATATTAAGATATAGGTTTATTAGCTTTGGAAGTGTTATAGTCCCTATCATGAACGTCGCGAATAACTATGTCGATTGCATATGTCTGTTGCAAACATATTGAGCTATAAATTCTACGCTGTATAAGTGGCAAGGAAGAAATTGACTGCCTCGTCCCAGTCGCTTTGTGTGATTTCGGGGGGGGGGGGGG